TTAACTGTAAATTCTGAGAAAACGCATGACCAACCGTTGGATACAAAGGTTAACACTAAGAAAATAACTATTTCACAGTTGGATACGACTGTACATTCTGGAATGACTGAACAACAATTGGATACTACTGTACATTCTGAGGAAACGACTGGACAACCATTGGATACAAATGTACATTTTACGATTGAACAACCGTTGGATACAACTGTACATTCTAGGGAAATGACTATTCAACCGTCGGATACAAATATACGCCCTAGGGAAACGATTGTTGAACCGTTTGATACAACTATACATCCTGGGGAAACGACTGTACATCCGTTCGATACAACTGTTCATTCTGAGGAAAGGACTGAACAACATGTACATAAACTCGAACATTCTGGAGAACCGACTAAACACACTTTACAAAATGTGGATACAACGGTAAACTCTGCGGAAACTTCTGTACACCCGGTAGATACAACGGCACATTCTGGGAAAACGACAATACACCCTTTGGATGCAACGGTAGACTCTAAGGAAACGATGGGACGCCCTGAACATACAGTAGTGTACTTTGAATGAACTGTACAGAAGTAAACTTTGAAGAAACGATGGTACACCCTGTAGATACAGTAGTGTACTTTGAATGAACTGTACAGAAGTACACTTTGAAGAAACGATGGTACATCCTGTAGATACAATAGTGTACTTTGAATGAACTGTGCAGAAGTACACTTTGAAGAAACGATGGTACACCCTGTAGATACAGTAGTGTACTTTGAATGAACTGTACAGAAGTACACTTTGAAGAAACGATGGTACATCCTGTAGATACAATAGTGTACTTTGAATGAACTGTGCAGAAGTACACTTTGAAGAAACGATGGTACATCCTGTAGATACAATAGTGTACTTTGAATGAACTGTGCAGAAGTACACTTTGAAGAAACGATGGTACACCCTGTAGATACAGTAGTGTACTTTGAATGAACTGTACAGAAGTACACTTTGAAGAAACGATGGTACATCCTGTAGATACAATAGTGTACTTTGAATGAACTGTGCAGAAGTACACTTTGAAGAAACGATGGTACATCCTGTAGATACAATAGTGTACTTTGAATGAACTGTGCAGAAGTACACTTTGAAGAAACGATGGTACACCCTGTAGATACAGTAGTGTATTTTTGAGAGACAACGGGCTATACCGTGGAAGAATCTTTTAACTTTTGGAGGAAACTGTATATATGAATATAATCGGGATATTTTAGCTCACAGCGAATAAATATATTACCTTAGTTAGCCTCTTCTGAAACTCGTAAATAAATAGTTTACGTATTAGCAGTCTAACAGGAATCATAGGAACTGACAGCTTCCTATATACATACGTGTATAAAACACCTGGAGATTCTGGGAATATTCTGATAAGACGTCGGATAGCATCATATCTTATCTATTGCTGTCTTATGAGAAAAGTGGAAGGAATACAACATTTACAAGCATGTAACACAACCGTTCTCGCCCTTTTGCATATAACACAAACTGTTTTTGCCATTTTGTACATTGAAGCATCTAAGTCTGTATACAGTATATTTATCATCAATCTGTTCTATATGGTCTTCGTACCCTAGGTTATTGTATGTGTGCCCTGAATTAAGGTATTTGAGCCCTAAATTATGGTATTTGAACCCTGAGTTATGGTATTTGTACAATAAATTGTGGTCTTTGTACCCTGGTATGTGTACCCTAAGTTATGGTTTTGTACCCTGAGTTATGGTATTTGTACAATAAATTGGGGTATTTGTACCCTGATTTATGGTATTTGTACTCTAAATTATGGTCTTTGTACCCTAAGTTATGGTATTTGTACCCTAAGTTATGGTATCTTTACAATTAGTTTTGGTCTTTGTACCCTATGTTATGGTCTTTGTTCCTTGAGAGTCAGAGCCTAGTTTATACGATTAAGCAAAATTTGGGAAAAAGTACGGTTCTGGTGTTTACAAGTTCAGTCTGTTTACCTGACAAAAAACAGGCAGTGTTTATTTACGAAGTCATGGGAGGTTTTGTGATTGACAGCTATAATGGTTTATAGTTATGGTTTTAAAAATACAATTCCATTATATACTTTCTTAATTGCATTCATTTAATGTTTATCCATAAGGGATATTTGTCTTGTAATCGCAGTATCTCAAGTTCTCCTAGTTTTCAAAACATTGGCGAATCTGATATCAAACACACATTTGTTTGTTTAACATTTGATGTTTTACACTCCCCTTCATAAGTTTGGGAATTGAAAGTTTTCATTTGATGGCATAAGAAAGACTGTCAATGTTTCAAGCGTAATCTTGTTCACTGTTCATTAGATTCAATATTTTTCAGAAATGTATGATTTTGACAAGTTATTTTAATCGCCAAAGGCAAACAGATTTTAACGAGTCTTTCAAATAAGGAAAACCCAGGTTGCGAAATGTATGTAGGGGGGTGTACCACACATGGCTTATCAGGTGCTATGCACATAAAGAACAGCTTAATTGCATAGGCTTTTGAACAAAAACTTCTGGGATTTGGGGTTAGGAGATAAAATCTGTTTATTTTAGTACAAGGTATATCAATGCAATGGATCGTCATACTTTAATAGTCTCACATTGGTTTGTAACGTGGTGATTGAAACCTGATTAATTAACACTCATTAATAATTCATGTATGGCAATCAGTATACAATAAAATATGTAACTTGTGTAAGTCCGAGTTATGTTTTGTTAAATTAATTAATAGTGGGCAATGGCGTGGAATGACTATGTATTATACTCATCCAGAGATGCTCTAAAAATATGTACACCGTTGCTCATACATCTTGAACACTGAGCACTGCTCAAAAATAAATATGTTCACTCTCTCATGTGTAACAACTTAGCTTACATATATGTACGTTTTAATTGTATGGAAGTATGCAAAAATGGTTGTTCTAAAATGTCCAGTAAAGGAAGTTATTCCTGGTACCGTTTTACTGTTTGCGTTTATCATAATACTACCCAAAATATTCATACATAAGTCTTCATTTTCTAATTAACTATTTTTGGTTATTTAAATTTTGTGAAAAATCACCATTAAAATTACATTATTTTCGAATTATTGTAAATTTTTTAGAATTCTTGGCAAATTAATGAATATTCCAAATATATGAGCAATGGTGTGTATTTCCTTTTAAAAGTCAACGCCTGCCTGTAAATTGTACACAGATTGGTCATTAAACGATATGTACAATCACAAAAGCAAATATTATGTCTGTGTCATTTTTGGTCCACTGAGCGCGTTGAAAATAATCATACAATTACATAATTTGATTATAAAAATAAATCACAATATGTACTCTAGTATGCAATGGTGTAATTAAGTCTTTATCACGAGATGACTCATTGTTATATGTAGAAAAGTAATAAAATATGTTTTATCTAAACCATCGCAACCTTTCCACCTTTGCATCAATTACGTAACATAATAATAGCAGCAGTGATGAGATACAGGTGAGACATCGGGACTCTCCATTTAACATTAAGAAGGGGATTTGTCTAAACAACGTTTAGTTCAACAATTTAATGATATCAGACTTCTGTGTCACGGGTTCTTTTAAAATATAATAATTGAAATAAATAATTGAAATCCAAAAAGCTGGGGTTTCGTACAACAGGTTCTAGCCAAAACGTATCCGAGCCGCATCTCATTTTAACTGAACTAAACGCAAATTCTGGTCAATGCATCGTGGAATGTTGACGTGAGCAGAAACGTTGTGCGAAACCTCTCTATTAATATTGCATATTTAGATGCATAAGAATGATGTATACAAATGGATTTTCGGATGTCTTTAATAACCCTCCAGATTACAACAGTTGTCACTCACAATTTAGGATGAGACTTCAAGATTGATATTTACAAAACGTGAACGAAAAATCAGTCTCCTCAGTGAGCTTACAGTTGATATTAAAAACAAAAGAAAATGACAATCTTTTACCACAATATCTACGAGTGACACCCAGTTAAAGACATACATATCAAATCTTCGTTGCAATACATACAAACTGAAGGGTAGCCTTAACAAGAAATTTGGTGGCAATCCTGAATGTCCATTTTGTACAACCTCACCTATCGAGGAATACCTATCACATTTTATTTTGAACTGTGCTTCCTTTACAAAAGAAAGAGCAGAAGTGCTCAAACGTATTAATACAAATATTACTATTACCTTAAGTTCAAAAGTTATTTAACAATGATCATGACTGTGTTTATAGATTTATAAAGTCAGCTTATTACCAGAGGAACTTATTATTAACAACTTGAAAGGTCTACACTTTTCCATTATATTTTCCCACTGTTATTGATAATGTACATTCAGCTGCATTATATGCATACACATGTTAGGTTGTACTTGGTAAGACATATTTTGTTGTGTCAATAAACTTAAACTTAAACTTAAGAGATATAACACTGGTATGACAGCCCGGTCAGTTGACATCTGACATGTCTTTATTATTGAGTCGAAATATAGGATAATAAGGATAAGGATAATACCCTCTCAACAAGACGTTAAAACCATTAGGTATGTTCTCCCGTCCAAGATTGAAGGTTTAACCGGAATCTAACTGCCCTAGTTGAAAATCATTTTTTAAAGACTTTTTGGAGGTGTAGAATCGAATGATCGGTCCCCAACAGTAGCATCACATTATAGACTATGCATATACATATAGCATATTTAAAGGGAACCAACCGTATCATTTTAAGGATAATACTTTAAAGATTGCATAACCAAATAGTTACTACTTACGAAACCGTCACATTGTGGATACTCATGACCAGTTTGTCGTGCACGCACGTGAACGAATCGGACGTACCTCTACACTGATTATTCTGGGAGATTTTTCCGACGTTAACACCTATGTGTATTAGTGTTAAAAGCTTAATATTGAAAAATCTTTTCAATCATTAGGTATATGATTTAGTGGTATACCAGTACGTATCTCTGACAGCTGTTAACATGGAGCTCTATGTTGCACGATTGGAGGCAGGAGGAGAGAGATCACAGGGAGTAAAAGCTTGTTTGAAAAGGTGAGCCTTCCGGGTAAACTTTGTTTTATTTAGAGCAAGGGGGTATAGGGTACTACATGTATGAAGTAAATCCGTTTATTAAGAATGGTTTCATATGATATTTTCTTTCTGTTCATATAACTCATTTTATAAATGGTCTACATTTTTCAGTTTCGCACAAAGAGTTAATAAAGGTATCCTGATTATTAATTAAGGGTTAATAATTTTCTATGATGTATAGAAATTAGATAAATTCAATGATCTACTTTTTAAAGGTACAAAAATGTACGTCTACGTGTCATGTGTTGCATCAAAGAGGGTGCCTAATTTGCCTAAAAACGAATGCTCATTACATGGTTGTTTTATACAAGTGAAACTCAACATTGTACCCCTTTCCCATCCTGATTCACGTGTTATAACCATCATCTATAGATGGAAGTTTTGCACTTTATGGGCTCTGGTCTGCCCTACTATAAACAAACATGGCGTTAAATAATACAATGTTAATATTTCCCTATTGAGTATAAATTGGTAATCCTTGTATCCCCTGCTATTACATATTAGTGTTACATAGTAATACATATTTATGTTTAATTCCCCATAAATTATAATTGGCGATACGTGGTGGTTTTCATGCTCTGAGCTACGTTATCAAAAGGTTGAAGACGTTTCGTTTGCCACTCGTTGAGTTTTGATCGTTTTTGATAGTTTGCCATTAAAAATCTGAGACACTGGAAACATAACATCACAGCATGAATATATTATAACAACGTAGGAGAATAAAATAATGATTATTTTATCATAAAGATAGATGATTACATCAGCTAGGCCTACCGTTAATATTACAAAACATATGAAGGATCGACCATCCGAATGCCCAGAATCACGTGTGTCAAAACTTGTTGGTAAACGCGCAAACTGCCACTTAAATGGGCAAGCCTTGGTTTGTTCATTCATGCACGTTGTTGTACATTCAGTCTCCCTGTTTTTTACGGTTCATCTGGAGTCTGAAATAGGTTATTATCATTTACTATTATCATTTTTCAGGTACCGGAAGAAGATCTCAAATATTATAGACGCCCCCTCTATTCTCATTTTCGTTGCGTGTCTGGCCATATTGGACGCTTCATTCGTCGTATCCCAGCTGATCATTGATGTGGTCATTGTCAGGCGTATGTATAATATGCTCAACATGCACATGCCCCCCCCCCCCCTCTCCATAAGTTTGGCAATAAGAAGTCTCCTTGTACTGGATCGGATGTTAAAGCCTGTGAACAAATTCTATTTGTCATTAATTTCCGAACAATTGTAATAAAGGAACAAAGTAAAGATTCTAACATTAAGAGGCTTCAACACGCTATAAGGGGAACTTCCGGTATTAAGGGGGGGGGGTGCATGTGTTTTGTTTTAAGACTTCACGTTTATACTAATGTTTGCACGACTAACCTGGTGTTAAGGTTACAGTTATAGTAAGGGTAGCTTCTTATTTATTATACCATAGAAGCAATGGTTTGAAGAGTTTTCATCTTTAAGAAATATACATTTCTTATAATATCCCACTTGTGAAAAATAGTTTTTTGTATATTTCATAGAATTTAACCCAGTAATGGTATTTTAATGTATTTTGTTGCACTTTGGTTGCTATGTTAGAAATCATCATAATGTCATGAACTTTTAATATAAAATATGCACTTTCATGGTTTTATCTGTTTTTCTGATGGATTGGATTGGATAACCCTAACAAACGACATTTGTGCACTTTCATCCTAAAGGTCGCGCATCATATTCCATCGGATAGCACGCATATTGAGCATGTTCAATTTTTGCTTTTATTTAAACTTTCAATGTCTCGTCACATGTTTTATGTTTTATTTGTAGCACGAAAGTCTGAAAATTATTAAACGTTGCCCCAATCACATTCCAATGAACAAACGTGCCTGGAGCGACCGCCAGGTGACCCAACATGTACTTAAATTGTAAATAGTACATGCTCTTATTCCCCGCCCCTTGAATAGTAAAATCCGAACGGCTGTATACGTATTTTATTTGGCCGGTCAATTATCATTCATGATATGACACAATCTAACATACCATTTAAATACGCCCCCCCCCCCTTCTGCTCCTACCACTTCTGTCTGATGTAATTAATATATCTGATCAAATATCTAGAGGTTATTGAAGATTTGAGATGCAGCAGACATGTCTGAAATTCATGGGAATTGAAAAAGAGTGTATCGTTTATCTTTTTAGTAATTAGACATGAAATGAGATAATGAGAGCAACAAATAAATTAAAATTGTGATAATCATTTTGAAACTTCTTTAGCCTACAATTAATATTCTTGAATTCGTTTTTCAGAACTTCTTGAAAAGCACGTTGCGTCTACAAAGACTTTATCAGTTGTTCTCAAGGACACATACCCCGTTGATTTCAGTTGTTATGATGAGGACCATTACGACACCGGAAGTCTAGAAGATCTAATTTCTTTTCTCGATCATGGGAACGGTTACCATGGAGGCGGTAGTTACCATGGAGACAGCACAAATAAAATGGATATTACCCATAGGAAGAAGCGACATTTACAGAGCAAAAGTAAACAAAGGCAGGATAACATGATGCTGTTGTCCCCCGCATTACGTACTACAATGCAAAGCCTTCCTTTAAGTCAACTAGAAGAATTCTGCTCGAATTATGGGGATATGTCGAACCCCAACCCTTTGAATTCCAAACTTGGAAGATTTCAAAGTAAGCGTATTAAAAAACGAGCATCCAGTTCAGAAAATACTCATGACAGAAATGAATCTCTATTGAGTGGTGGCAAGTGCCCAAATATAACTGAACACCATGGAGAGCATGAACACGATCTGGCTCACACTTTGGCGCACGCTTGCCATATAGGAAGTATAGTTATTCTCACAATGATGGTGTGCGAGGTAAGTACAATGAAGTTAAACATTTTAACGATCTTGTTACGAACTTTATGAACGTGATCTGATTTGAGGGTGCCCCAGACATTCGAGCCTCCTCAAAATTTTTCTCCCGGCCATCCGTTCTACACTCAGGCAGGGTGGCAACGTCGAAAACGAGATATATATGTACTTGGATATCCTACTCGGGACGTGTCACGGGGTAGGCAACATGCATGGTCGTTGGGGAATCAATTGCAAAAGCACGTCAATAAAGCTAGAAAGACATAAATAAAAGTTACAACCCAATCTATTCATACAATATTTTGGCATCATTTTAAGGAATGTAATGTGAACTTGTTTACCGCGCGTATCGTAGAATAATCTGAGCATGTGTTATGCCGTTGTGTTTACGAAGATGTGTTCCCGATGGAACTTCTCTGATGGTTGTTATTCTCAATTTCATACAGAAAAGTACAAATTGATTTCATTTTCAGAAGCTGCTTCGTATACAAGCTTACGGCAAGAAGATTTTTAAAAGTAAATTCCAGGTAAGATTTACAAAGACCTGACATTCCGAGCTGTCATTGTATCTCATAGTGATGTTGATTGTATCGCTTTCTACAGGGTGACCCAAAAAACAAAACCCTCTAAAAATGTAATTATTTCCTAAATACCCGTCCTATCAACTTGATTTTTCATGTGCACAAACAAGAGTCTTTGGATGATAATATGATATCAAGTTTATTACACAAAATTGATTATTTGTGAGTATATTGACATGATTGAATGATCTTAAAATGTGTCCGATTTTCGGAAAAACACCATTTACACAAAAACTTATCTTAAGATTTTAATTCCAAAGAAAACTTGAAATCAAAGGTTCATTCAATATCTTAATTGAATAATGAAAAATATGCAACATTAAAACTCTTAATAAAAAATCAGATGACTGAAATTCCTGGCCTCTGAACGAGATCATCTCAAACGCTGCACATTGGATGAATTCTTAAGAAATCATTATTATTTTTTCATTTTTGGAGCCATCTGTTTTTGGGGTCACCATCAGTATAGGCCTTAAGGGCCGGCCCGCTGATCATTTCCAGCTTACTTTTGATATGGTCAAGTTGATTTTTTCCCTAGGTATAGAAAAATAACATTGCAACTGGTCTGTACTTCCATTTTGACCAGCAAGTTTCAGATCCTTAGGGCATACACTGGTCACTTTCTAGACTTAGACTTACTCTATTTTGCGGCATATCATAGAACATACCGATAAATTGAAATAGTATAAATTGAATTATTGAATTGTAAGACGGATCTTATAATTACATCACATCGTGTACTTTAATAACATGCAAAGCAGGTTTAGCACAAAGTATAATATTCACTAATTTAGAACTGTACGATTATCATGACGCACGATGTTCTGTTCTGATAAATCTGATCATGGCCTGTGAATGAAGTGTTTCCCCATGTTCTTTCACTCGGGTCCCCCCGTTGGTTGAAAGCAGTGAAGACTGAGGTGCTAATATTGTATTTTCCATGCTTTATCACGAGGTTTCAATTTTTTGAACAGATGTTTGATGGTTTTGTTGTGATCCTGTCCTGGATCCTTGATCTTGCGCTAATTGATGGGATTTGGGCGCAGTCGGAAGTGGATGCTGCGCTACTGCTTATTATTCTCCTTCCATGGCGGATCATTCGTATAATCAACTGTAAGTAATTGACAGAAAAATGCAGAACTTCTGGAATATGTGCGTATGCACAAATGTCAAATGGTTAATGGTATACCGTTAAGACTAAAAGTGATACATATAACACAGCTAAATGAAACATTTCAGAGTCCAACAAGTAATGAGGCAACCAAACCAGAAGTATTCCAAACCATAATCTAAACGTTTTTATATATTCAAAAGTTTACCATTCATATTCTGCAGTCTTTTGTTATGAGGTCATGGCATCAATTTTCGTAATGCCGATTTCGACTCTTTAGTGCTCGATAATTACTCTCATATTTGATGAAGACACATATAATATTTGTTACAGGTTTTGTAATGACGTTCAGGGAGAGGTATAGGATACAAATTCGATTAATCGAAGAGAAAATGAAGGCGAGTGAAAGAAAGGCAAAAGAAGTATCTAATAAGATGATCTGCGCAAAGGTAAAATAAAACTATTAGCAACAGGGACTTAAGATAATCTATTCAAGGTAAGAGGGAGAATAGCCCAGAGTTATTTGATGATGGACCTGTCTAAATTTTCTTGGTTCATCTCTGGATTCTGGGTGATTTCCTCCTCTTTTTCAAGGTGCTAGCTACAAGTACTAAGGCCGCTAGAGAATTTGATTGCGCCACCATCTTGTTCTGAACATTATTTTCGGTCGTTGACGTATGATGCTTTTTACTTACTGCACTTAGCAAATTTTCATGCAGTACCAAAAGCGTCAGTCAGTTTGGTAAATATACATTCGTTGCATTGGTTTTTGCTAAATCTAACAAACTCAGTGGTTTTCTTGCATCAAAATTGTATTTTAAGCATATTAGATGCACATATCGCAATACCCACGAAAACACCAAAAAACTTGAGTTCTTCGTTATGATTCTACACCCTGAAAGCGAGAAATGTGTCTTTCTTGACTGCGTTACGTTTACAAATGCATCACACACATTCGTAATGCATTACACACTGTGTGTTTGCTATTCCAGAGAGAGATAACACATCTAAGAGATTTGGCTTCAAAACATGGCGCCACCGAGAAAGCCATTGAATTGTGCACTAAGAATTCCAAAGGTAGGTCAACCTACGTCGGCTGATAATGCATTCAATAAATACTATAGTATACACGTCTTTCGTATATACGCACACAAAGATACAGTAGCTCGGCCCATGGCTGCCTTTGCAGTGCCATCTTTGTTTCGCCCTGGTCATTATTCACACGAAAGGCGAATTCGTTTTTATTCCTGCTACAGTGGGTTTAGGCTTGTATGTAAAATCGAAACGCCAACCTATTCGTATGACCAATCGCCCTTACAAATGCATTGTTTAAATATTTTCCGTTCATGTTAAGGTTGTGAAAAACATTGCACGCTTAAACTCCCTAATCATTTGTATCCGAGACGGCCATTGTATTTTGTCTACATTTCAGATTCACTCAGTCGTAAAACTGGAATGTACCTTCATAGCATGTCGATGATTACCAATATTCTCCAAACAACGTTCTCTCACCATACAGATGAAACAGAAGATGAACATAGTGACTCGAAACCATCAGGTGTGTACAAAACGTCTGAAACCCAAATTGTCAAAAATTGTCGGTTTTCAGTCAGGGGAATGCGATCGGGGCATAAGCGAGTCAAAAACAGATTTGTTTTGAATTTTACAAAAAGTGATGCAACTTTCTTCAAAATTGAGCAAGAAGCTTCAAATAAAAAGGATTTTTAAGTTATTTTCTTTTGCCTAGTGGTTGTATTTTTATTGTTTATTTGGGGTATTTTCGCACCCCTCGCATCCCCTGGCTGATCGTATGATATCTTATAATATATCTGTTGTGGGATCCAAAGTCTCTACCATCCCTTGGTATAGAGAACTTACACTCCCCTCCATAAGTTTGGCAACCTTAGTTCCCCCATTGAACTACGTGTTAAAGCCTCTTTACGTTTGAATTTTTATTTTCTTCACCTGCGATGAAAATACTTATACTATTGATGGAAACGTAATTTGACTTTATTTCCAATACCTCCAAATTTTCTCAATTTTTTTCCTCAATTACAATAAGTCGAAAATATATGATACGTTTGATGAATCTTTGAAAATCGACATTCCCATGTTAACCAATGGTAGGTTTGCCGCAAGTCATATGTCAGAATGTCCATCCATCCGAGTCCTTGCAAAAAATACGAGGTAGGCAGGCAATTGAATTTGCTAACTTTATTTAACAATTGATATGTTTCTTCAGGTTCAACAAGTTTTAGGGCTTTAAATTCAAAATTGTTTTTCAAAAAACCTCTCCCATTGAAATAACACAAGAGGCGAAAAATTATTTTCAAAAATGACTTTGAAGCGCTGTAACTTTAGTATTCCTGAAATAAACTAATCACTTAGTGTACATAAAAGTTAGACAATTTAATTTTCTATGTAAAAATATTTTTGCTGATTTTACTGAAAAGATATCCTGATTTCTGATTTGCCCCGAACCCTCCATTTCCCATTGGATAACATGGGAATGACGATTTTCAAAAATTCATCAAATTTATCATCAATTTTCAACCTATTGTAAGTGAAGAAAAGATTTGAGAAAATTCAAGTTACGTTTTCATTAATATTATAAGATATTTCCTCGCCGGTTAAGTATATAAAAATTCAAATGTAAAGAGGAGTTTAACACGTAGTTCAGTGGGGGAGCTAAGGTTGCCAAACTTATGGAGGGGAGTGTACGATAAACTGATAAAGAGACTCTGATTAATCAGAATGTATGTGTATCTATTCTTAAGAGAACTTGTACGTAAACCTGTATAGCTAAGGTCCTGTATTTACTTGCAATTGCCCGATCCAATATAAGGAAAATAGTTACATTATGAGTAGGTCCCTGAAAAAAGTTCAAACAGTTGATAGAAGGACTGCAATGGGGTCGTAACATAATTATGAATCTGCGCACAAGTCCTCTTAAAATATGAAGCTTAAATCTGTAACATCATAAACGTACCTTACGATTTTATAATATCCGAATCTATTATTTTCAGAAGGTACGCCTACGGAGTCTATTATACAACCTGAAAAGCATCGGGAAAAAATCCAAAATGGATTCAAGGAGATATGCAGGTAAAACAATTGTTACATCGGCATGGAGTTGTCAACAACTCATATTATGAAAGATGTTATATGACTATCGACTGAACTGAACTCCAAGCAAAAACGTACCTCTATGTTGTTTCAGTAAAAAGTAAATTTTCATGGGAAATTCGTCTTTGTATTTCAGTATTGGGGTAGAGACTTCAGTTGTACATGTTAATGAAACAAGTGCACATCCTGACGAAACAATAGTGCAACCTGATAAAACAATGGTACAACCTTCTGAAACAATGGTACAGCCTGACAAAACAATGGTACAACCTGATAAAACAATTGAAGGACCTTCTGGAACAATTGAACAACCTTCTGAAATAATGGAACAAACTGTTGAAACAAGCGTAGAACCTACAAAAACAAGGGTTCAACCTGTAAAGACAATTGAACAACCTACAGAAACAACGTTTGAACCTGTAGAAACGGCGGCTCAACCTTTACAAACAATGGTCCAACCCCTTTACGCAATGAAAGAACCTATAAAAACAAACGTAAAACCTAACGAAACAGCGATACTGCCTGTAGAAACAATGGTTCAACCTGTAGAAAAAACGGTTCAACATGAAGACACAATGGTAAGACCTTTAGAAACAAAAGTAAAACCTAAAGAAACAGCTATGCAGGCTGCAGAAACAATGGCTCAAATTGAACCAATAGAAACAATGATAAAGCCCGTGGAATCAATGGCACAACCTTTAGAAACTATGACACAATCTACAAAAACAACAGTAAAACCTGTAGAAACAATGGGCCAACCTGTAAAAACAATTGAACAGCCTTTACAATCAACGGCACAACCTACAAAAGCAATGGCAAAAACTGCAGAAACAACAGTGCATTCTGGAAATATATAGAAAAATGTGTACACCCTGTAGAAACAGCGGCTCGATCTAGACAAGTGCAAGCACTACTACTAAGGGTGCAGATATACCCCCACAAAAGGTTTAATCGGGCGAAATAAGTAGGGATAATCTTGGGATTAAATCACCGGGTCGTGTAGAAAATCACCCGGGCGTGTAGGTAAAACCTTAAGCCTCTTCCCAGGAGATTTCGGGCCCATATTTTAGGGTCCCGGGGTAGAGTTTTGGCAGTTTCCAGTGGCGGATCCATGAACCAACAAGGGGGGGGGGCGCAAATTTGCGGTCAGAGGAAAAAACGTCCGAAGATTTTGGGCCCCTAAAACCGAAAAGTGGGCCCAAATTTCGACAATTTAGGGGGGGGGGCGGATCCGCCACTGGTTTCTCTAGGGAGGGGCGGGGGTGGTGACCGACATTAGGGTGGTATTCGACCGTGACCCGGGTAACCTCTTCCCGTTAGAGCGGGGAGAGGAGTCTGCGTCCCGAGTCTACTCCATATAAACCATATATACATAATCGTCGAATAATTCACAAACAAACAACACTTCTGAATTAGTCTCGTGTTAAACATTATATTTACAAACTTCGAATTATACAGTATAGATACACTTTCATTATGGGTCTAACATTATTTTTTACGTACATCCGACGCGATTATACGATTTTATTTTTTCAACTATATCCAACCTAGCGGGCGGGCGGCAACACAGTGAAATATATTCGGAAAAAGTCTTATTTTTTTACAAAATAAAATCAAGTCGTTATTTACAGTTTTTTTAGTCGCCCTTATGTTTACTGTTTACATACATTGTGTTTAACTCTTTATACAGTGTTTAGTCAAACATTTTTGTCCCCTCTTAGATTGCGGACAACATTTGGGCAAAGAATCCACGTATCTCCTCACTAGCTGGTCATTCATTTGCGTGTTTAACGAAAAGTCCGATAATAATATATAATTATCTAATTTGTCAAGTCAGAGAGCGTTTTTGAAATGTTTAGACCATTGTCCTCGAAATATCCCCAAATTAGGTTTATTTGGATAGGGAGAGTCACCTCCCAAGGATAAAAATCGGTCGTGTAAATAATTGCTGGAATTACACCACAAAATCCGCTAATACGTTTTAGTGGAAGGCGCTTTACAAAATCGCCATTCTGATTACACCAACATTTCTAAAGCGTCTTAGGAATTATATTTTGGAATTACACCTGTTTTTTCTAAAACGCCTTTCGTGCACTTTTAACGATGTAGTTATGGATAATATCCAGCATACATGTATGTGTACATCTCCTGTAAATGTATTCTTTTAATCTAAGACAAAACTGATCTTCCTATTTGATTAAAAATGCATGACATTGCATAATTTTTATTTATCTTTTATTAATTATGAAAAAACATAATAAAAAGGTAAAAGAAAAATATGAACATATTCTCTGAAGATAACACTTGATTTCGATGTGACCTGGCGACTATCATCCATTTTTCAATTTAGATATAGCCAGATAGTAGCGTGAAATGAGGTCTTATTTCGTTTAGGGCAAATGTTAAAAACTAGTAAAAACCCGGGTAAGGTGTCTTACAAAAACCGATCGGTATTACATGCACACTTAAAGTGCCTAACGACTTATGCCGTTTACTAGTGACAAGGGTTCTTGGAGTTTTAGAAAAGCGCTTTTGTAAAACTGCAATCGTGATTACACCTAATTCTTAAACCTGGTTAAAACCGAAGACGCTTTTGTAAAACGCCAAGTGTAATTCCAGCAATTGAGTACGTTTAGCAGAATAACGGTTACCTGTCATGTAATGGTTTTTAATCACGTATTCGTTCTTTCTTCGTGCATTTAAAAAATGTTGTTTGAATTTCCGATAACTTAATTTGTAGCGGCGGGTTTCTAAGAAATAATGCGGCAGTCTGACTTCGTCCAAAATTGATTTTAGGGAATTTGAAGAACCTAACCTCACCAAGTGATAGAATGTGCCTAAATTTGAAAAAGGTTTTCGTAAACAAAAAGCAGGAATTTTTTCAGAAAATAATTCTTGAGGCAAATCCAAATACGACCAAAGAAAAATAATTTGTACTAGATCGTAGATATGAAATTTATCGGCGCGACTCAAATGTTCGCAAAAGTATAGGAATGTTTCTGAACTCTTTCAAATTTATCACATATTTATGGGAAATATTCTACTGTTGCTTCGGGCGTGTGCTGTATAAAGGCTTTGATAAACTTTGACTTTGAACAGATAACATGTTGACTACTCAAATCTACATGAAAGTCAATTGAAACCTTATCAAAATTCCAATTTCCGCCATATTCAATATTAAGATGTTATTGAATTCCCGATAATAAATATTTGAATTAAAGATCGTGTAATATTCAATATGTTTTCCACCCGCCCATGGAAGAAAAAATAGATTTTTTAATAAGGTTTGAATCGATGGACTTACGTGTAGATTTGAGTAGCCAACATGCTTACAGTCAAAGTATATCAAAGCGTTCGAGCATCGAACATTACCTGACACGTGTAAACATGCGAGATGTGAAAAATATATTTCAAATCTATATATATATGGAGTTATTTCTACATTTTGTTGAGTAATCAAACACTGTCTCAAGCATCTTTAAGATAACCATTTATACTTCTCGTTGGGAGGGATCACCAGATGCTTGAGACAGTGTTTGTCTAAAAGTCGATACGGCCACTGGCGCTTGAGCGGCGCTTGAGGGGCTATTGTTTGGTACGCTCAAAATCGGGCTAACGTCCTCTGATTGAACGGACCCGCGTCCGTGGTTGTATTCAGTTATAACAGCCCCGTCGTTTCGTGGTCGTTTATGTTCGGCGGCGCTCGTTGTTTCAGACTTAACAAAAGACGCGGGGCGTTTTAGTCCAGCTTTTGATTTTATTTTTGGCCTCTTTCTATCGGAGCCGTCCTTGCTTTTTACTGGTGTGTTAGGCGGGGGGGGGGCGTTCCTGGGGTCTTTATCGCTTTCTTGCCGTATTGCGGCGATCATCTCTTCTACCCCGCTCATATCGATCGAAATCCTGAAATAAGATTTTTTAAAAGACAATACATAAACAAAATATACCATATCGAGATACGCATGTTAGCACAATAATTTTTTAAAAGAAAACTCAAATTATTGTCGGAACGTGTAATAACTAAACAGGAGCGTCTGAAGTAAATCCTTTTTTAAATTTATTATCGCTAGTATACGATGTTAGTAACGACGAAAGAATTATATATCGAATCGTACTTCATTTTGGAATTTTTCACTCACCGAATTCCACGAGTCTTTACTCTCGTCTCCCGAGTTCTCCTTTCCCGTTTCAATTTCAGGAAGTAACGGTAATATGTTTGGTAGGTCCTCCGAGCTACTGCTAGAGCTACCAGTTGCTGTGTCGGTTAGTAACTGCAACTGAAAAAAGAAAGTTTCAGTTTTTTCAAATATTTTTTTCGGCATGAAAAATAACTAAACGCAACGCTTTATGGGAACAAAATAAATTCGAAACATACGAAATTGTGTTTGATATTTTACTTTTCACGACCGCCATTTTTTATGTTTTTTTCATTTCAGCAGAATTCATCATTGCCTGTTGAGTACTAAGAGACCTTAAATTTAAACTAATCGGGTTCTTCCTAACAGAAAAAATATAATACAATTAAGAGTAAGACAGTTTGCCATTTCTAAACACGATTCGGACCCTTACTAAAAGTAAACTTTATCACGAATTTATATTTTAAGTACTCAGTATAGAATTATGAAAAATGTATCATTCTAAAGTAATACAATTCACGAAAATCAACATACTGTAATGGGTTTTTCCACCCAGCTATTCTTTTCGGGAGGTCCGGTTAAGGAGCTGGAAGGGCGCTGAGGTCCTGTTAATGAGCTGGAAGGGCGCTGAGGTCCTGTTAATGAGCTGGAAGGGCGCTGAGGAGGTCCTGTTAATGAGGTGGAAGGGCGCTGAGGTCCTGTTAATGAGCTGGAAGGGCGCTGAGGTCCTGTTAATGAGCTGGAAGGGCGCTGGGGTCCTGTTAATGAGCTGGAAGGGCACCGAGGTCCTGTTAAGGAGCTGGAAGGGCGCCGAGGTCCTGTTAATGAGTTGGAAGGGCGCTGAGGTCCTGTTAATGAGCTGGAAGGGCGCTGAGGTCCTGTTAATGAGCTGGAAGGGCGCTGAGGTCCTGTTAATGAGCTGGAAGGGCGCTGACTCCGCTGAGGTCCTGTTACGGAGCTGGAAGGGCTTTGAAGTCCTGTTAATGAGCTGGAAGGGCGCTGAGGTCCTGTTAATGAGCTGGAAGGGCGCTGAGGTCCTGTTAATGAGCTGGAAGGGCGCTGAGGTCCTGTTAAGGAGCTGGAAGGGCGCTGAGGTCCTGTTAATGAGCTGGAAGGGCGCTGAGGTCCTGTTAATGAGCTGGAAGGGCGCTGAGGTCCTGTTAAGGAGCTGGAAGGGCGCTGAGGTCCTGTTAATGAGTTGGAAGGGCGCTGAGGTCCTGTTAATGAGCTGGAAGGGCGCTGACTCCGCTGAGGTCCTGTTACGGAGCTGGAAGGGCGCTGAGGTCCTGTTAATGAGTTTGAAGGGCGCTGAGGTCCTGTTAATGAGCTGGAAGGGCGCTGAGGTCCTGCTAAGGAGCTGGAAGGGCGCTGAGGTCCTGTTAAGGAGCTGAGAGGGCGCTTCTCCGCTTTTTTGTTTTTTTGGCGTAAGCCATTCCTGCGATGAGTGAGCGAGGGAAAGGGTAACATCCATACGTTCCAAAATCATTGGCATATGTTTTTGTAGGTTTGTGAGCGCCCTCTCGGAAATATAGAAACTCTCGACTACCTTCTTCGACAAACCGCCGACTCTTTCAAACGTGCAGCAATTCTTCCTGAGGGCCACACGAAGCAAAGGCTCCAAAGGAATGTAATTGGTGTTGAGCGAAAGGCCTTGCCCCAGTCTTCTCCTCATGCTGCCCACCCTCCTTCCTAGATTGTTAGACGCAGTCATGCTGGATATATTGAACTCCGTTCTACGATTTTCTCTAGCCATGGTCAACTTCAAATAAATATTGCTCTTTTTGCTTATTTTGTTTCCTCTATTGACGCCAACTATTGACCCAGGCATTACGGTTTTACCTACACGCCCGGGTGACTTTCTACACGACCCGGTTATTTAATTCCTAGATTATCCCTACTGATTTCGCCCGATTAAACCTTTTGTGGGGGTATATCTGCACCCTTATGCCTTGGTCACATTTGCTCCGATTTTCACTACGGCGCCCGGCCGATTGAGTATTTTGTTCAAAATTGAATATAATATTGAACAAAACACTCAATCGGCCGGGCTCCGGCCGATGGATCGGGGCAACTGTGACCAAGGCATTAGTAATGCAAGCAACAGTACACAATCAGATAATGTAGATGCAGTGGTATATTCTGAATCTGAGATACGCCCTATTGGTTATAGTTGTTTTACTATTGTGATACCTAATTGATTATAAAACTACACATCGGAATTATAATGTTACTTTTGTAACAATGCTGATATTACTAAAGATGGACAAATCGAAAAGAAAAACAAGATGTTTTGGAAGGTTGTGTTTTTTGTACTTTTTTATTTGCACTGTATGAAATGTCCTTATGTTTTATTTTTTGGAATACACGTTCATTAAAAATAGACATTGACATCTTTTGTGATTCCAATGGGAAATATGTTTGGCTTACCAAAATTCAGATATTCTTGAAGTCGTGACTCGTTTGTTTCTGAATCCTTGCTACAACATATACAACCCTATACAAAATGTTTATATAGCCAACAAAAACTTCTTGTAAAAACAGCAAACTCAATGTCCTGTTTAAGAACCCCTATTATTACTATTGAAATGGATTCTAGCAATATATAATACTATCCAACATGAATCTACTTGTTGAGACTCTATCAACTTGAGTTCTTCTGAGAAAATGAGGATTTCAGCAAGGGTGCAATTGACTTGTAATGGGGATGCAATTGATTTCATCCTTCATATTTACTGTAGATATGCAGGATGAAATAAATTGCATCCCCATTATATCACTTGACCAGAACCAAATGTAGCAAAATGCACCATTGGCATTGTCTAGGTTATATAGTCAACCTTCATTTATTTGAAAATGGTGTACCTTTTTTATTCTGTGTAATTCATTATTCAAATTTGGTATTCAAATTCTAACACCTAACTTTTTGTACACTAAGTGTTTAGTTTACTTGATGAATACTAAAGTTTCAAAGTCATTTTTGAAAATCACTTTCGCCTCCTGTGTTATTTTAATGGGAGAGGTTTTTTGAAAAACAATTTTGAATTTAAAGACCTCTAACTTTGTTGAGCCTGAAGAAACGTATCAATTTTTTGTTAAATAAAGTTAACAAATTCAATTGCCTCCCTAACTTGTATTTTTTGCAAGGACTTGGATGGATGGCTATTCTGTCATATGAATTATGGCAAACCTATCATTTCCCATTGGTTAACATGGGAATGTCGATTTTCAAAAATTCATCGAATTTATCATCAATTTTCGACCTATTGTAATCGAGGGAAATATTGAGAAAATTTGGAGGTTTTGTAAAGAAAGTCAAGTTGCGTTCCCATCAATATTATAAGTATTTTCTATCGCAGTTTAGTAAATAAATATTCAAACGGAATGAAGCTAACACTTAGTTCCAGAGGGTGTTACGCGGTATATGGCATACATTCATGGTTGCGCGGTATTTGTGATACGGGTGAATATGCCATACTCACCTGCGGTATATGGCATATTCCGCAGGCTAGTATGCGATATTCCGCAGTGAATATGCGATACATTGATTTCAGTGAATACCCGATACTCACCTGCGGAATATGTTATACTCACTTGCGGAATATGCCATATACCGCAGGTGAATATGACATATACCGCAGGTGAAAACGTGATACAGAAAGCCTTGATTTGATTGGTTGCGAGAATCGACTCTAAATGTAAAACTACGCTGGATTACCAATATAGTTAGTGCGTCGAGTACTAATATATAAATCCAGGATTGATTGAGTAAGTTTATTACGCGAGATTGGTGACTGATACTTCTGCTAAGCCATATTCTTTGCGGAATATGACATATTTTTGTGTCGTGTTTACCGCAAAACAGAGGGGAGCTAATTATAACGTTGCCAAACTTATGGAGGGAAGTGTACACCGAACATCGTCCACTTAAAGTCTATAAATGTCAACACGTGTGGTTCTGACATACTGGAATAAACATTTCTCGAACAATTCCAAGAACAACAGTGTCCGAAAATCAATCAATTCAGGCGTTACCTTTACCAGTTTACTGTGAAGTACGGCGGGTCAACTATATTACTGACTTAAGTTAGTCTTTTACACTGCTTCAAGGCAACAAGTTGGTTGAACCTAAAAATAAGAGATTGAAAGGTTATTGTGCAATAACATATTGAAAAATATATTCATACCGTGCACACGAAGTTGTATATTTCAGATTATTTAGTGTTTAGTGCAATAAGCCTGCGCTCTCTTGTAATCTGAAGTGTATCCGCCATGTTAACACTTGGCAGGAGAATAATCAAAATATAAGAAGTTACATAATTTATAAGCCAACCACGTGGTCACGAGCAATCCACGATATGCAAATGTCATTCCTGTGCAATATGAATATATTTTTTTCTATGTATTATTCCCGGTATTATTGCACAATAGATTTCTTATTTTTTAGATTCAACGCACGGGTCGCTTTGAAACATTGTAACAGACTATCAACTGTTTTTCAGTGCAATGTATGTCATGGTCTCATTCACCAAACGAGGTGGGTACAACTGCAGCCACTGTTCGATACACAAAACAACCCCGGTCGTTTTGTGTACCGGCAGGTGTTTTGTGTACCGTATTATTTACTCCTTAAAATGCAATTTTAAAGGCACATTTTGTGTGTATCATAAAAAATTACATTTTATATGATCAAAACCATTAACATAGACTACTTGCAAAATATGCCACTTAATGCATAAAATACAAGTCCTTTCAAAGAATTTAAATAAATGCCAGGCCGGTACCACTTTGAAAAGCGATTTCTACTATCTATAGCTATCGAATGATAGCCATGTCAAGGCGTTCGATTGCATCTTATGACGTCATAACGGTAGGAGGAAACATAGGTTCATTCAAAACTGACCTGAAAACAATTGAATGGCACGGGGGAATGGAATTCGAGGTACTTGGCACAGTGGCCTCGCCCCCAAAACACAAAAGTTGCTTCAAGATGTCACGATTTTGGTAACATTGCTCAGCTAAGATACGGCCCTTTAATATGATATGCGCTATTAGGCTTCGTTATGAACTAAAAAAACTCAAAAGGGGATAAAACCTACAAAATACCCCGAAAAGCGCCTTCTAATAGGTTACAGTCTCCAGAAGAGTTTCCCATAGATGGACATTATAACATTTTACCCTGATAATTATTAACGATTAGTATCCAAGCAGCATGATATTTGCTAATTAGTGAGATGTTTGAAGAAACATCTTTACATTTGCCCTAACAAGGACTTGTTGATTGGTCATTCTATTCGTCAGATATAGAGTATCTAATTTGTAGGATTTGTCGTAAAGCTCTGATTTAAATTGCGCTCTAGACGAAATGTCGATTTTCGGATAACATCACGCTGGTAGCAGCATGTTGGTTATTGATTTGTGAGACGTTTCAGTCAGTATATATTTCTACGTTTTCCCTATGAAGGATTTAATGACTGATGATTCTGGTCGTGAAATATTTTATATCTAATTTGTCTTAAATCGCTGATACAGTTATATTTTTAAAATTGCTCTACCAAGGACTTGTTGAGTGTGGTTATTTAATTCGTGAGATATTGAGTATCTAATTTGTCATAAAGCTCTGATTTACTTTGGGCTCTGTACGGAATGTCAATTTTCGGACCAGTTGTAGATCACGCTGGTAGCAACTACTAGTTGGATATTTTGTGAAACGTTTATGTATATATTTTTACGCTTGCCATAGGATGGATGTGTTGATTGCGGTTTCTGTTAGGGAGATATATAATATCCAAATCGTCCCAAATCCCTTATGCAGTTTGCGCTCTAGACGAAATGTCAATGTTCCGACCAGTCGTACGTCACACTGCTACTAGCCAGTCCTTTTTGCTATTTTGTGAGACGTTAAGGTATATAATTTGCAGTATGCTCTTGAATGAATTCAATTAATGTTGTTCCCGTTCGTGATATATTTTATATCTAATTCGTCTTAAATCTCTGATGCAGTTTGTGCTCTGGACGAAATGTCAATTTTCGGACCATTCGTACGTAACGCTGGTGGCAGCATGATATTTGCTAATTAGTGAGATGTTGAAGTATACATTTTTACATTTTCGAACCGTTATTACGTTACGCTGGTAGCAGCATGTTGGTTGTTTATTTGAGAGACGTTAAAGGATATATTTTTGCATTTGCTCTACCAAGGACTTGTTGAGTGGTTATTCTATTCGTTAGATATCGAGTATCTAATTTGTCATAAAGCTCTGATCTACTTTGCTTTCTGTACGGAATGTCAATTTTCGAACCAGATGTACGTCGCGGTGCTAGCAGCGACTATTTTGATATTCTATGAGACGTTTATGTATATGTTTTTACGTTTGCCATAGGATGGATTTGTTGATTGAATTTTCTGTTAGAGAGATATATAATATCCAATTCGTCTTAAATCACTTATGCAGTTACCGCTTAAATTCTATTCGTCAGATATAGAGTATCTAATTTATAAGATTTGTCGTAAAGCTAGATTTTAAATTGCCTTCTAGACGGACTGTCAATTTTCGGACCGGTCTCATGTCACGCTCGTAGCAGCATGTTTGTTGTTCATTTGAGAGACGTTACTGGATATTTTTTTGCATTTGCTCTACCAAGGTCTTGTTGAGTGGTACTTCTATTCGTGAGATATTAAGTATCTAATTTGTAATAAAGCTCTGATTTACTTTTCACTCTAGACAAAATGTCAATTTTCTGAGCAATTGTATGCCACGCTGGTACTAGCTAGTCCTTTGCTTATTTGTGAGACGTTTTGGTATATATTTCTACGCTTTCGCTACGAATGATTTAATGACTAATTTTTCTTGTCGTTAAATATTTTATATCTAGTTTTTCTGAAATCGCCGATACAGTTTGCGCTCTAGACTTAATGT